TATATATATATATCTTTTATTATAGTTAAAACTTCCTGTCATATAAGTGCTTAAAAATTTGCACTTGTCTTTCTTCTCAAATATATAAACTTCATTTAACTAATAATTGTAAATTTTTTTTTTATCTCATTTAGAATATTTGTTAGCAAAATTTTTTAATAAAAAGTACGTGTTTTTATATGCATGGTATTAGGTTCAATTGTATTTTAGTTCATTCAATTTTAAAAATTCTGGTCTTGTAAGATTAATTTGTCGCATTTAAGTGTGTGTTTAAAATTCAAAGATAACAAAAAGTTATTTCTGTAGTTTAATATTATAAAAAAAGTATTTTTATGTTAATATATATTTATAGTGTAAGGACAAGTTAGAATTCCAGATGGTCTTTTTTTATTTAAAATAAAGATATAAATAAAGATACTGTTAGTATTTAATTTTATACAAAAATTTAAAAGTGCAAGAATCAAATTATTGCTTACAAAATAATTAAATTTCATTTGTTGAGTTATAGATTTGCAGTATAATTTCATTTTAAAATAATTGTGTACAAAAGTACTGTATTTCTATTTTGATGTTGCAGCATTTGTTTCAAGTTAAGAGTCACCAAAAAGTTTCGATTTGGGGAAAAAATGCATTTTTGTTCTCAATGTAAGATAATACAGTCTATGCTCTTCAGTACAACCCTCAGACCCTTCTATTATAACGACCATACACATGATTGCTGTTCTTTAAATGCATTGTATTTTAATGTCCAACAGAACCATTCATTTCAGTATAGCAATCAAAAAAATTTTCAAATCTTGGAAAATCACTCCAAATACAGATAAAAAGTTTTGCACTTTCCTACTACAACAGCAAATATTTCCCCACAAACAATCATAGGTCATACACAAAAATTGGATTGTAAAAGGTTCAAACATATGATTTAAACCACTATTTCTTCTGATGTAAGCACTCAATAGACATGAAACAATTTGTATTCTCTATAAGTGTGACTGGCAGGACCACCCATTCTTATTAAACATGGTCCTGGGATAAGAATAGGTTTATAATTAAATATCTATTTTCACTATTGAGAATAAGAAGTGTCTTACAGCCTTCTTTAGAAATAGGAGTCGCCTGTATCCACTTATATTCTTTGTTAAATTTCTTTTCAAAGAGTTAAATCATCATCCAGGGCATCAATCTTATTTTCACTTGTTTGAAAGCTGTATTCAGTCTTTTTAGGAAGAGGTTTAATAGATAGTTTATTCTAGAGATACTTTATTTAATTTTTGCTGGATGTTATTCAGTAGAATTGGCACTCTTTAATCGGTGTCACACCATAAGCTTAAAACAGAAATTAAAAGTTTTGTAGGAAGAGGCTAGAAGAATTATGTTTTTGTCAAAATAAGTCCAGTGTCGCGACAATACAACCTCACATTATAACACCCATTTTTGTTTGAACCACAAAAGTTGTTATATCGAGTGTCGACTGTAGTATATTACGACCAATTAGAATAAATAAGTCTAACAATATTTTTAGAAATTTATTTTGGGCATAAATTTAAAAATTTAAGTAAAAAGATTCTTGTGTATAAAAAATATTGTACTACTAAATTGATGTTATTTAAACTGTCTCTAAAAATTAGACATGTTAAGCATTTTTTCGTGCTGTTTTCTACTTAATTAATGTCTCTTGTATTGTATTACTTAAATTTACTTGAAAATTTGTTAACATACTCTTGAAAATAGTAATTGTATTGATTAATATAAAATTTTGTTCGTTTCTATGTACAAAGACTATGGTGGTGTTAGTGTATCACAGTGGTTTAACTTCAATAATGTGTATGTTTTTTCCCCTCACAAAAATTGGCTTTCTGCTGAAAAAAAATTTTT